TACAACAAGTGGGCTATCCGTGCTCTCGACCATCGACGGGTATACCGAAACCCGGATTCTAGCGTAGAAAGTCCGCAGACATACCACTGTGCTACGTGGGGGGGGGGCATCCGTGTAGTAATAGCAGTAAAATAAACAGTTTCCATCATAGTTGTTAATTAACTTTTAATTTGTTAGAGAAGTTGTAAATATACCAGTTTTTTAATTCTCATTTTTGATTTGACCTTGCAGAAATAAATGGAAAATACATTAATCGAATACGTTTGAAAAACTCCAAACAATTGGAAATCACTAAGGAAAAAAAATATTCGTGTTACCACCAAAGAAAAATATTATTCATATTATCACTAAATATTAATATTTATGTTCTCCCGAAAAAATAATATTCAAGTTTATTTGTAGTTAAGCACAAAGCTACACAATAGGCCATCTGTGCTCTGCCCACCACGGGTATCGAAACCCAGTTTCTAGCAGCCTAAGTCCGCACTCATACCACTGTGCCATCGGGGAAGGGGGGGGCAATATTCAAGTTAACACTAAAGAAAGTTATTCACGTTATCAGTAAACAATTATCCCTCAGTAGGTCAGCGGGGAGTCTTTCTAGTTTTATACTTAAAAACGGGGATTCGATACCCGTGATGGGCACAGACCAGACAGCCCATTCTGTAGCTCTGTGTTTAACGATAAAAAAACATACAATAAACGTTATTCTTGTTATCACTAAAGAAAAGTTATTCTTCTTATCACATCAAAAGTTATTCATGTTATCTGTAAAGAAAATGTTCATGTTATTACTAAAGAAATGTAATTTATATTCAGCAATGTACAGAGAACATTAAAAAGGACACCTTTTAAGTATCGTATATTATGATATAAAACTAAACAGTAAATTATTGCGTATTAGCACTTAATAGCATGTAAAAATTAGTTATTTCTATAAAGAACTATATATATAAAGACCCTGTGCATATATACAGTTTTATTTCTAATAACTCGCAGTAAACAAGGTGTACCTTTTCATAACTGATGACAATTTTTATAGCATAGAAAAGATAGGCATTTTGAGGGCATAAAGACAACCACTTCTCTGTACACGTCACTTTTTAAGTTATCAATAAAGAAAATTTTCACTTTATTGCCAAATAAAAGTTATTCATGCTATCATTAAAGGATGCTATTCATATTATCACTAAACAATGGCCCCCAGTAGCTCAGCGGTACTGTGGGTTTATAACACTAACAATTTGGTTTCGATACCCATGATGGGCACAGCACAGATAGTCCATTGTGTGTATTTGTGCTTAACGATAAACAAACACTAAACAACGTTATTAAGACACTTCTTTAAGTTGCGAAACTACAAATCACATTTTTCACAATATATATTTTGTTAGTTTGAGATTTGAGGAATATATATATATATACAAGGCTTAAAATTTGTGCTTTGAAATTTTCTCCGCGAGCCTAGTTAAGTCACAAATTTGGCCGTGTAAAACGTTACGGGCAAAATAATGCTGAACATTTATCATGGGTTAATTGGTTTTAAAGAAAAGAAGTATGGTATGACTAAGTTGTCGTTAGTTTATTGTAGTGCAAAACTACACAGTGGGCTATCTGCGTCCTGTCCATCGCGGGGAACTCAACCCCGAATTTTAGAGTAGTATGTCCGTAAACTTACCACTGTCACACCAGGAGACGTATGATTACGTATACAGTTTGTATTGATTCAAATATTTTTATGTGCAGGAATTTAGATAATTTTGACTTACTTGTGAGCTTTAGAGAAATGTTGTTTTTTAGATATTTTAATTGTTTTTAATTACTTTAGGCCCTGCATGGTCAGGTGGTTAGGGCGCTTGACTCGCAATCTGCGGGCGCGGGTTCGAATGCCCGTCACACCAAACATGCTCGTCCTTTCAGCCGTGGGAGCATTATATTGTGACGGTCAATCACACTATTCGTTGGTAAGAGAGTAGCCCAAGAATTGGCGGTGGGTGGTAATGACTAGCTGTCTTTCATCAAGTCTTACACTGCTAAATTAGGGACGGCTAGAGCAGATAGCCCTCGTGTAGCTTTGTGCGAAATTCATAACAAACCAAACTTAATTACTTTAAAATTTTTCAAGTTTCTAGTATGCTGTTGACAAAAGTAACTATTCACATAAATATAGGACTGCTAATAGTTTGTAGTTTCAACGGCATTCTTCTCTCACTTTATTTTACAAACACATTTATCACGACGTAGTTATATTATTCCGATGGAGCAAAAAGTCCCGTAGAGCACAAATGTCTGTCAAATAACACCAAACTACCATTTAAATTTTTATTGCAACTTACTTCTGTTTTTGTTTTTTTTTTGTTCTATCGTTCTGGAGATATGGGATATTTACAACTCCCCTTGGACGACTGATATATTGACAGTTATTACTAAAATGTTGACATTTGAACCTACGTTCACGAAAAACCTATCGAGTGTCCCCTGGTGGGCACTAAATTCTTCTGCTAAATTTGATCCACATTTATGTAAGTAGATACTGTTAGCTCTGACAAATGTTGCTTGTAGACTCTGAGTAGACCACTTTGATCGAGGTTAATGATGCCACAATGTTGAGCGAAAAACCAAGAATCTGTACCACGTGACCACAGATCCACTGACTGATGACTATTGCTTAGTGTTGCCAGGATTATTGTTTCTTTTACTTATTAGAATGAAAAACATAAAAGACATACTTTACTAAGGCATACTACTCTACCACTAATTTAATGTAACTTATAATCCCACTTGCACCAAAATTAATGTGATTTGTTTTTTTATGAAAGACCTATTATTTCATACAACAAACAAACATAATAATAATTCTGTAATATAGTTAATACGAATGACATGTCGTCTCAGAAATAACTTAGAATGTTTAAAAATATTTTAAAAGTAAAATTCAAAAGAACCGCTACAAATCGTTTTGTGGAGTT